TAACTGAGGTAAGCCTGTGTCTTTCTCCAGTCAAAATATATGTAGCCTTAAAAGTTTGCCTACACATCCCAATAATGAGCTATAACCCTTTGGACTTAAGCTTTAAATAAGTAAGATGACATATAGCTTTTAAAAGTAGGTGAGAATTCATAGAGAATACATAATGATCGGGAAATTCTATTTTTGTCAATTATTTACTAAATGCTGTATGGTGTTCTTCTCCTTGTGACAACACTGCTCAAATGCATGCTTTCCCTTTAAGAAGCTTATAATCTAAAACATACAAATAACCATATGCAGAAAAAAGCTAGAGATCAGAGTAAAAGGAAGCATTCACAAAAATGTACAAATTCAGCATGCCAGAACTTTTCAGTTGAGCAACATGATCCCCAGTGAAATTCTTTCCAAATGATGTATCATGTGCACAAGTTATAAGTGATTATCTTCAATTTTCTTAGAAATGAGTAATAAGATACCTCTTAAGACCCATGCTTTTGTATATGCATCAAACACTGAAGTTGGCATGGTCATTGATAGCTGTCATTTAAGGAGAAAACATATTTTCTGTCTTGTCTCATATCAGACATATCCAGGACTCTTTTCTCCCAGGTTGGTAATAAGCAGCCTTTTTCTAGGATACAGTGAACAGCAAACATTGCAACTCTAAAGATGGAAGTAACAGAATGCACAAAAATATTGCATCAAAATATTGGATACAACATCCCAGCCCATAAGAAAAAACACATTGCAAAACTGACACCATCTGTGTCATCTAGCATCCATCAAAATCATCTTACGTCTGAATTTCCTAATGCTTACAGAATGGAATTTGCTCCAAGAATTAAGAAAACTCTTTTTAAGATGGCGGCCCTATTAAGAGACTTCTCACTATCTCCCACTTCATCTCTTCAGTTCTTTTCCCTTGCCCAGGCTGGCTATTGTGACCATTACAGCCAATTTCCTGGAGGTATTTTCTAGCCCCTTTCACCCTATTTAATCCTACAAGTTTCCTAGGAAGCCTGTTTACTTGTGTGCGCCCCTACTAGACTGTGAGCTCCCTGACAAAAGAAACTGTGCCTCACTCCTCCCTGAACCCTCAGCACCTAATACAGAATCTGCCAAGAAGATGGCAGTCTTAGACTCCTTTCAGAACAAGGTACCCCACCAGTCATCAGTCAGCTCCATCAGATTGATGGCTCCCTCTAAACACGTCTTGGTACCAATATCAGGATTAGCTTAATAAATACATTCAGATCACATCTAAAAGAATTTTCTAACTGTTCCAAGTTAGCACACAACAATACAACTTTTTCAAAGTTTTAACAAATCACCTATTCACCCAAATGTCTGGTGCAATCTCCCAGGAGAGAAAGCCCTCCCATCATACCTAACTTCTTTTTCTGTTTCCAGACATTATGACTGCTAACTGCATTAAACTAATTGGGGAACCACAGCTGGCAACCCAGATATGGATGCTAGTTCTCACACTAAAAAACAAAACAAAAAAACAAACTCTCTCTTTGTTTCAAGAATGTTGCTTTTTATTTTTATGTTGCTTCATCCATTTCAAGAAACTCCAAGCAGATTTTGGCTCTTCCAGGCTGCCTTTTACCCATATAGACATTTGGCCTTCTGGATTGGTTCTCGCACTTTCCAAGGCCCTCCAAGGCAAGATCCCTCAATCTTTGGGGAGTTGCAACACTACCACGGTTTGTTTGATTTTCTCATTTCCATCTGCCCCCTATACCACCCCCCTATACACAAAAGTGGTGTATGGCATTCATAAAGTGAATTACACTTGATTTTTGTTTAGAGGAATTTTTTTCAGACTTCTGTAACATTCCCTTGAGACAATTGGAAACATCATTGTCTGATTACTAGCTCACTTTCCTTGCCTAAAATTGTATCCATTCTTGATTGCGCCTGTGGGTAGGTTAAGCAAAACAAAATAAACATCTAGACTTATGAGCTCATTGGCTTTTTTCTGAATTTTTCTAAATTAAATAAGGGCAAAAGAGCTGCACTGAAAGTCAGTTATATGGATTTTTCTGCCAAATGCTAACTCTGTGCGCCTGGTTTCCATCTGTGGTGCTTTCCAAGTTACAAATCCTTAAAAAAAAAAAGTGGAGTATGAAGAGATCTATGGATTTGGGGACATGCTATTTAGAACAGTGTTCTGTGCCCTGAACAGTCCAAGAGAAATGGGAACATGAGATTGTAAGGCTTTAGATCAGCTTTGTGGAAGCCCAGTATAGTCCTTCAGCACCAGTGATTTATTTTTTAGGCTGGCTGATCTCAAATGCCATTTACTCTCATCCATATTAACTTAAGATATGTACCTTATCCACTCTAACCCAATTCTGCTAATGGCAGAAGTTAGCAGTCAATCCCAAATGTTCCCCCTAAGTGAAACAGGACATTCTTGAGGATTTCTCCTTACTGTGACCAAATCTCATTTGATCTGGGACAAAGAAAGCTTTAATGCAGTTAATACAGTGCAGCAGGCAAACTGAACATGGCTTAAAATATAGATGGGGGTAAAAAGTCAAGCGGTCATTCTGATGGTTCATAACTATCAAATAATTTGCAGCTCTCTTTCAATTTCCAACCACTGAATGACAGTAGCAAATTATACATTTATTCACTTTGAAATTATGCACTTGCCATTGTATTTAGTCTGCCATTATCTTTTCTTCTCTGAAATACTGATGAGCTCTTTCCACACATGGACATTAGGATTTTCACCATGTTTTCCATATCTACAGAACCATATTTGCCCAACTAAAATTCAGAACACATGGTTTTATGCCAAGACAGAGTATTGGAAATCTGCACTGCCCCAGAAAATTCAGGATATATGGTAGCTGTGTGGGGATAACTATATTTGAAGTTTGGCTTTGATCCTGCACGAGTTAGGATAGTGCCCACCATGTAGAAGGTGCTCAACACCGTTTGCGTTTGTTAAATAGAATTGAAGCAGGGAATGTTACGTTTATCTGATGAAAACCCTTGAAAAGTGACTTCTCCTATAGAATTTGTGAAATAGGAGAAGAAAATGAAAAATCTTTATTACAAGTCCCTGTTCTCTGTAAGTATGGCTATCCCTAGGCCTGGAGGGAGAGAGGGAGCCCGGGCCAAATCTCATACACAGTGTGTGGGCCCTTCTAATACTTTTATACAGATGCTGCAAAGAGGCAGGCAGCCAGAGGGCTGGAGGAGGGCGAGGGAGGGTGAGTGCCTGCAGAGGGTGTGTGTAGAGGGGAGTGTTGCTAAATGAGTATCTGTGTTTTCCTCTGGTCGTTTGTCTTCTTTTTAAGCACCACCTTTACATCCTGGTTTCGAATCAGCCAAATGTGGCCCTAACCACAATCTTGCACCTATTCATCTTGTGGGGGCTCAGCCTCCAAGGACCAATTTTTACACTATCAACAAAAGCATGTTCTTTGGCCTTAGCAATCTAATTACCATGGCACTTCCAGGGGAGAGAGATTCGCCCGTTGTTTCAGCCCTGTGGAACTGATTCATAGGTCGCCCCTTACAGCTCCTGCACACGCCCACGTGGTATGTTATGAACACTTAACAGTGGAAGAGGTAGTTCGACCCTCCCTCAGAGTGAAATCCTGCAAAGCAATATTTAACATATGCGCAAATGCATTTCAGTCACCAAAAAGGGTGACCAATTACCTTTGCAACTAAACAGCAGGCTCACTCGCCTCTTTTCATCAACCTAAAGAAAAGGCTGAGGGCGCGCTGGCTGCCTAGGTAACCTCCTGCCAGTGAGCGCTTGCTGGCAGAGCCAACTGGGCGCGCATCCGCATTCACAACTTGGTCCAACCATCAGGCCCGCCTCCATGACTTGTTGAGAGCCACCAGCCAAGTTTTGGCTAGGGTTGCTCCCCGAGTCCTCGGAAGCGCGGGACACGCGCTGAATGCATGAGTCGAGAAGAGACCCTGGAGGCCACAAACGTCTTACGGTTAGCGAATAAAACTGACTGTTTCTTCCAAGCGCACCTCTGATAAATTAACCTGTTTGAAACTGACTCTGCTTGACCGCATTGTCAGTGTAGCAACTTGTCCTAATTGGATTCTAAGGCGGGCGTTAGGAGCCCAACCGCTGGACAGTCAATCACACAAGGCCATTAATATTCATCTGTTGACAGCGGCAGCCCTCGGCTAAGGTTAAAATATGTCCTTACGGCACAATCTGATTGTGCAGAACAAAAGGCAGGCGTTCAGAAACTTTCCTCCACCTGAAATCGTCTTCCCTTCAGGGTCCAGCCTGTCAAGAAGGCAGATGAATTTGGGAGGGGGAGGAGTTAAATCATCTTTGGACTCCTGCTCCCTGGGCCAACAGCACCGTTTTTTAAAGCGATTTTGCCAACCTAGATAAGACACTGTTTTGAAGGAAAGGCTCAATTCCCATCATTTTGGGAACCCTCTTACTCAAAAGTTTCCCTCAGCATGTCTTCATCCGCCACTGCGTATTCAGAAATCTGTCTTCAACTTTGCCTGCACTTGGGCCCATGAGCCTCGAAAGCCCAGGTTGGGGAAGGAGAACGTGGGGGCACATTGGGGAAAAGGATGGTGGGAGCTGTGATCCAGCTAAGGCTGAAATTCTGACACGTACGTGCGAGCTGGGGTGGCAAATTCCCGAGGCACCGGCTAGGTTGTGGGGCGCCAGTTCGCTGAGGCCGTGGAAACAGCTCCCACCTTCCTGCCCTCCCAAAAAATGGGCGCTCACGAGAAGGCGATCTCCACCGTTTCCCCCGCTCGCACCTTCCCTGACAGCAGCGCGAGCCTGGGGGATGTGGACTCGATCCACACACACCCGTCCTCTCTCCCTCCGTAGATCCATCAGGCCCCAGGCACATCGACCACTCCCAGGTGGCCAACGGCGGGGCGCACGACCGCGGCCCGGTGGGGCGAGCGCGTTTGGGATACAGCTACCACGCGCCCCTTGGTCCCCCGCCAGACGCAGGGAAAGCGTGACCCTTCCTCACCTGGCACGGGAGTTTCAGGCACCCACTTGAGTCCAGGCTGCAGTCTCTGGAAGAAGGAGCGGACCTGGTGACAGGTGGCGTCCGGTGGCGGCGGCGGGGGCTGTGCCTGTCCCGGGCAGTCCAAGCTGAGCAGCATCGCCACCACCAAGCACGCGGTGCGCACGGTCCCGGCCATCCTGCTTCGCTGGGAGCTAGGAGAGCGCGGGAGAGTGGCAGCCGGAGCGAGAGCAGTCCCAGGACTCGGCAAACCTGGCGGTGGCCCTGAGGAGCACGAGACGTGCCGCTACCCAGCCGCTGCAAAAGTTTCCTCGCAGCTACCTGGGCGCTGGGCGAGGGCGGGAACCGCTTGGCGGCGCGGGGCAGGGCGGGGCTGACCGGGGGGGCGGGGCGAGGGGGGACGGGGCGGGGCGAAGCGAACAGC